AATCAGAGTGACAATGCCAACGGATGGCAAGAATGAGGTGAAAGTAGCTCTCACACGCTGCCGCCAAGCACAGGAATTGACAGGACCACCTGGAAACCTGGTCAGCAGTTTCTGTACGACCGTGCACTTCCCACATGACCCAGCAGCTGTGCTCTTGACTATTTTACTCAGAGAAATGAGCACTTTAAGTTTAAGAAAAGCCTGCGCACAAACGTGCAGAGAAGCTTTATTCGTAAGAGCGGAGCACTGGAAACAACCCGATTATCTCTCGCAGGGAGAATGGTGACACACCCGCAGTGTATCGCTCATGGTGGGGGGATCTGCTTGGAACCCCAGGGTTGACAGAAAGGTTGTTTTAAATTTGAAGACATTTGAGATTCAACAAATGCCGAAACAAGCCTTCTCAGAGCTTCCTTTATCTGTCTAAAAGCAGTAAATTTGGGGAAAGGAGGCCGCCGGAAATCCCTTTGTAGGGGAGTTTTGTGCAAAAAGTACCAATACCTGTATAGACAAATATTATCACCAACTTTCTTATCTCCTGCCTGTTCTCCTAAAAACCCATGCCGTTCCTAAAAGCACTCTGTTTTTCCCTTAGAATCCGTTTCTGCACCTTCCCTTGTCCTTACTAAGGTATGGAAACCTTTAACCTTCACCTTTGAGAGAGCCAGCTACTTCTTCTGTTGGCTCCCTCACGCAGGTGAGATAAGGCTTTTCTTCGAGTGAATGTTTTTTGTCCTGGACTTAAATATCCTTTCCCTTCTTTTGCTCCAGTTCTGAATAAAGCCCACTTGTCACAAATCCTCCTCTAAGGGATACCCCACATTAATTCTCCTCTTTGCTTTCTTTGCCTGCCTACCAACAGTCCCCCCAAATTGTCTGTGATATACTCCAAAGGCTCAGACCTATATCTCTGGCTCTGATTTTTCTACCAGTTTCCAGATCCCTTTCCTGCTCAGCTTCCAAAATGCTTCTAGTCATAAGTTTAATTGACACTTTTAGAAGTCTGGAGTCTAAAGCAGAATGAATCCTTTTCCTTTCTGTTCCCCCTAAACTGTTTTCCTCCAGATGCCCCAATCTTTGCGCATCACAGAGCCACTCCATTCGGAAAATGTGGCATCCATCTAATTCCTCCATTTCAAGATAATGACCAAATCTTCTCAAGTCTTCCTTTATGAGTACGTCTGCCATTCTAACCATCAGTGGTATCACCTCAGCTGAGGGCTTGTTCCACCACAGGTGAACTTTTGAAGTGGTCTAAGTGGAACCTAACCTTTTGGGTTCCCTCTGCAAGGTACTAACCGTTTTATCCGGTAGGACCCTTTGGCAAACAGGAGCTCGGAATCTCAATGGCTCCTGCTGAAATCTTGAAAATCAATTTCTTTGGTCAACAAACTGGGTGTGGCAAATAGTAGGATGAGAGATAGTTTTCTACCAGGTTATAAGGGAAAGGCCCCAATTTCCCACTCTTGAGGAGTACATGCGGAGCACAGGTCTATACCAATGGTTCTGAATAGGGGCACACTTTCGCCCCCCCAGGGAACATCTGGCAATGCCTGGAGGCATTTTTAGCTGTGGCAGGGGTCAAGGGTGCTCAACATCCCCTAATGCACAGGACAGCCTCCCACAACAGAGAAAGAATGATCCAGCCTTGGATGTCAACAGTGCCAAAACTCAGAAACCCTGGTCTAGCACTTAGGAAAAGGGGGAGTCAAGGCAATGTAAGCTCAAGACAAGGCTGGTATGAAAGGATCCTGAAAGAAAGGAGAAAGCATCTTACGGCTGCCAGAGAAGATCGTTATGGTTACTTAGTCTTCTTGGCACCAGAAAGAAAGAAGGATGGGAAAAAAGGTCCTATTTGTATTTGCAAAAAAACCACTGCCATTTCTGTACTGATGAGTAATAACATTATGAATGCTTGTATTTTAGTAACCAAAAGGGCTGTTATCTGGGACTGTGGACAACCCTGTTAGAACACCGCTGCAGAACAAGTATGGACCTAACCACTTAACATGATAGAGACTTGTCTTTTAAACCCATTCCATCAACCTGCAAACTTGTCACAACAGCAATCCTACAATAATTATTTCTTAAACAAGCGCAGTATATTCCTACATCTACACCTTGGCGCATACATCTCCTTGGCCTATAATCTCCACCCCTCTGCTGCTTTACCTAAACCTAAGCCATCCCTTCTTTTGATGCTCAGTTCCAGCCCCTCCTTCTATAAGCACATCCGTCCATGCTATTTATTTAACACTGGCAATAAATAAAATCTTCTACTGTCCTAATGGCATTTCTTAACACATGTACCTGGTCTCTCCAATTAAAAATGTAACTTCCCTGAGGTCAAAGACCCTGTTGTAAACTTACAGACCCCTAACGCTGATCAGAGTACTTTGCACAGAGCAAAGACACCCCCCCCCCACCAGAGTTACTGGTAATAGATTCTGCCCGTATTAACAGTGAGCATTTACTGAGTATTTACTATGTGCCAAGAGCTGTTCTAAGCACTTAACATCTAACATCTCCCTTAATGCTACTGTTCTCCCCACTTTGCAGGAAGGGAAACAGAAGTACAGAATGGGGCAGTAACTTGTCTTAAGGTTGTCCTGCTACGAGGTGGTGGAGAGGGTTCAAACTCAAGTACTCTGACTCTAGGGCCTGGTTTTATGGCACACAAACAATTTCTACTTATGCATGTACTAACCTCTCACTGCCTAGATACACATAATGTCCGAAAAAAAGTGCTGCCGGTTTTCTTGAATAGCAAAAAGCTGAACAAGCTATAGATCTAGTTTAGCAGTTCCAGCCACTGGCAGACCTTCATAGGATTAACCGAACAAGGAAATATCACATCAAGAATATTTTTTTAAAATGCTCTCTTGCAAAATATCAAGTTGCCTAAAATGTTTTGGAACCACAGGGTGACCAAGTCAATTCCTTACAAATTGGATTGCTCAACCATAATGGGCGTGTTCGTTCTAATTTCAGGGACAACAAAGTCTTTCTGAGAAGGTAAGCATGGCTGAGCGCCCATGCTCTGACCTTACCGCTGGGTGAGAAGAGCACACTGAACACTCAGTGCCTCCACATCTGTTAGATGAAGCCACTAATACTCGCTTAATAGAGGATATCGGGTGGAGGATATAAAATGCTCTCTCTGCCTATTGTAAATTCTCACTAAATTCTGCCTTTCCATTTATCTTCTTTAAAAAAAAAAGATTTTATTTATTTGAGAGAGAGAGTGAGAGAGAGCACGAGTAGAGGAGAGGGAGAAGCAGACTCCCCGCTGAGCAGGGAGCCTGATGCGGGACTTGATCCCAGGATCCCAAGATCATGACCTGAGCTGAAGGCAGATGCTTAACCTACTGAGCTCCCCAGGTGCCCCTCCATTTATCTTTGAGAGGGACCAAAATTAGCCCTACTTTGCAATTCTCTACCCTCCATGCCACCTGCTGTGACAGCAATAAACCTAGATCAAAGCTGATTCTATACCTCCAAGGCTCAAAACCCTCAATGGTTCTCAACAATCCAAAGGATAAACTCCAGCATTCCTTAAAATACCCCCAGTCCTCTTTTGCTGCAGTGTTTTCGCCAATTCTCTTCTCCTAAAATCTAAACCCAGCTTCCAAAGAGATTCTCTCTTCCCTATTTGTTTGCAGCAATATACTAATATGACTTTAGTAATTTTCTTAATAACCCAAGCCTGTAAAACAATCAAATAACATTAACTACCTCTAATTAAACAAAGAGTCCTGCCTCTGGGCATAGCACTCACTGAAGTAGCACTATGAAGAGCTTTTAATTCCTTAAAGCAAATGCAAAGAATGTGAAAGTTTACAGCTAAGCAGAAGTCAAGTTGATAACGAAGAGGAGGTATTCAAATGTGTGACGGTTTTCTGGAAAGCATGCCCTAGGACGGAAGAGCTGAATTAATGGAAATGTTTAATGTAATGAGAAAACCCTGACAAAGTATCAAAGAATCGTTTGGGCCAGTCAGGAGAGCAGAATTAGGTACAACAGGTGGATATTCCTGGGAGGCAGGTTTCAGCTCAAGTTCAAGGAAGCCGGCAGGGAATGGGCACCCCTGAGCCATGCTGAGCTCACCCATGGGAGATGCTTGGGCCCCAGTCATGAGATAAGGGGCAGAGGGAATTCTCTAACTGGTCGGTAAGTCTGACCAACTCTGAGGTCCCTTCCTAACGTTGGAGCCCGGCCGCAGAAGAGAAGACACGGAAACGCTCTGCTCAGAAAGAGACTGTGTCTGCATTTTAACTATCTTTCTAGTTAAAATTGCCGGTGGGGCGAAATGTAATAATTGGGGAAACGTGGCATCGGAGAGGTGACATCTCTGCAAAATGCCCCTAAAGATCCTAAACTCCGAGGCTCCCAGGGCCCAGTGGCTTGCAAAGGACAACTGGCAACCATGGCTCTCCGACTCCACACTCATGATGCTTGCTCCGGCAAAGAAGCTTCTAGAACAGCTCCCAGCTCCCTTCTCACCAGGTGCCACTCTCACCCCTCCTAACAGAAGAGGAGGCCGGCTCCGCCAGAGGCCTGGAGGGAGATCCGGGTCGCGACGCGGCGGAGAGAGGGAGGCTCCGACCCGGGAGGTGCAGCGGGCTGCCGGGTCCCGTTAGGAGAAGCCCCCGCCGCCGGGGCCAAGGTCGTCCCGGACCCCCAGGACACCCGCCGCCAGCGTACTCACCAGCGCGCTGCCACGCAGCAGCCGAGCCGCCGCTGCCTCCATGAGTGGGGCAGGCCAAGTGGCTGTGCCAACCACACGAAGTCGCTACTCAGTGCCTCCCGGCCGCGCGCCAGCGCTTGGGGGCGGAGCCAGGGCCTCGCCCCCGCCCCGCCCCCGCCCCGCCCCAGCTCACCTCCCTGGCCCCGCCCCCTCGTGCCTACGGAACCTCAAGACAGACACACAGGCCCTCTTCGCCTTTGCCCTGCGCACTGCTCACGCGAGACTTGGACAAGGCAGTGGGGCGGGAAGAGAATCGGAGACACAACAAACATGGCGGCGGCAGCGGCTGCGACGGTGACGAAGACAGCGGCGGCGACGGCGACAGCGGCGTTAAACAAGGCAGTGGGAGTTACTCGGTGCGGTGGCCAGGTGGTAAGTAGCAGGCTTCCGGCTCGGACGGCGGCGACACAGCTGAGCAGGACGGTTAAGAAGGAGCGGCAGGAGGCGAGAGCCGGGTTAGCGGCGGGCCGGCTGACCCCACCCGGACTCAGTCTCAGCGGATGGTTGGGCGTGGTCGGTCAGTCGGCAGGGTCACGACCCGGGACGTTCCTGGCCCGAGTGCGGAATGTGCGGTCTCTCGGTTCCTGGAGCCCCGAGGGAGCGGTGCCTGTGGCCAGGAGCTGGAGACTCCTGGGTAGGGAGATGCCTCTCGCTCTGACAGGTGGTCGTGTGGGGGTCTCCGCGAGGTTTGCGTCTTCACCGGGTACCGGAACCTGGAGGTCAGCGGAGGCGCGAGTCTCCTGGGTGCTCCGAATCCTGATGAGGATGCTGCCCAGACGCCAGTCTTGGGCTGCTCCTTGGGAGGACTTTTAAAACGTCCGTGTGTTATCTAATGGTCCAGCCTGGGTTAGTTTCTACTGTTTGTGCACTCTAATTCTGCGGAGATGTGAGGTTTGGGGAGGGCTTTGCAGCAAAGACCTATTCAGGTTCATACAGGTTTAAGTCTCTCGGTAAACTGTAGTGCGGGTAGCCAAGCCGTGCACCTATTAAGTGCTCCTCTGTGAATTTGAATTGAAGTTACACCGGTTCCAGCTACCACTAACTAACCACGTGGCTTATTTAGTGACCCCTTAATGTGCTGTTCAGAACCCTAAGGAGGAGTGACAAGCTGTAGAAGAAGTAAAGACACTTTAAATTGTGAGATCTAAGGAAATTCAGTTTAGAAGAAACAAAACTTATTTAAAATTTTAAACGTCTGGATAAATGGTATTAAAATTCCATTTGATTTTAATTGATGACGTGCCTTCAACACAGCTACAGTTTAATATATTGTTGGGAAATCGTTACAGGGAAATGAGAGATGTTTGGTATTTTTTTGCCCCGAGGGGTTCAAACTGTTTCCCAGAAAACCCTGTGTTTGAGATTGTGATAGAGAGCATCATAAAGATGAGAATCAAATGTTCCCTTGTTGGGGGTGCCTGGAGGTTTTCTTTCTAACCCTTTCCCACAAATGTTTCCCTACAAGGCTAGTGCATTATTTTTATGCAACTATAATTGTTCAGTGCTAAGCCTGACCCTTTAAGTGTACAGTACTGTGCACAAATGAAATTAATAACTTAAATTTAAGAAAGACATTAAGAGTTTGCCAAATATGAAATCTTAAGAAATCCAAGGGGGAGGAGGGGGAGTCAAATTAGTGCATGTTATTCTTTGGTGATTCTTTGGAGCTTTGTTGACCTGAGCCTGTTGCTTTGTTCTTTGATTATCTGTTAGATTAGTTTTCTTTTCTGGTAATGGTAAAATTGGCAGAAGTTATTTTCTTAGCTTATTAAACCTGTAGATGCTAATTAACTTTTTCTCATAAAGGTTTTGATTTGTGGTGTGCTTTTCTTTGCAGACCTCTGTATGGCTTTTCAATTTTAGTTGAAATTCCCTCCATGGCCTTTTGGAGTCCCTTGGTGTGTCTCCAGAGTATATTTCGATTACTCTACATTTCATCAATGTTGGAGTGGCAAGAAAAAAGAGGAACTGATTTGGGGTGAAAAGGTTAGAGTGTGTAGCTCCTGTTTTGGATATCTTCTAACTTTATTTTACTTTTACGTGTTATGTTTTCTGATCTCTCAAAGCTTTATAATGTCCCTTTTTGCATTCAAAGAATTTTTTTTTTTTCTGTAATCAGAGGAAATGTGCTCTAATTGTCTTTGAAGGTCCATGTTAACTCTCTATACTTAAATCAGTCCTCATTTGTTGGGCTTCACCATTGATGTGTATTCTATGGCAGAGTAAATCTTTCAGTGACCATAATTATTGGGCTATAAAAATAAGCACATCTGTTGAACTGTAATCACTTTTTTTGTAGAGGCCTACCTAACCGCCAAATTAAGCTATTGTATAAGTAAGTTAGTTGCTAAGTATTCTACCTTATGGTTAGTAACCCCCAAATGGTAGGTGAATAAAATAGATCTTTCTATTCCCTAATCATGTTGTTCTCAAAATTCTCCCATAGCTTTTAAGAAAGATAGACTTTGGAAAGAAGGTAGGTTATAGAGATTCTTCTAGTTCTTACGTCAGTGCTCTTTCATAGTTGTGGCTGTCTTCTAATTCACATCGTGGTGCCTGTTTTGTAAGTTCCTGGTTAAGAGGGTGTGTTTGTGTGTGTGAGAGAGAGAGTGTGTGTGAATCAACAACTTCCCATTTATAATGTGAGACTGAAGAACTAATATCAGAAGACTTCATACAAATAAATCCTTTATCAGAAACCAAGGAAAGCCAGAATAGTTTTAAGTTAGTGGCTTAAAGGTAAAGAGGTTTTTATATTCTTCTGGGATAGCAAAACTTTTTTCTTAAATATTTCTTTACTTCACTAGTGTAGGTAGCGCCTGGTTGTTTTGTAAGAACCTTATTTTTGAGCCTTGAATGGATAATTTGGGAGAAACTATTATTGTAAAAATAGTTCAGGTGCATTCTACCCAGTTTATACAGACATGTGCCTACACCTCATGGAATCCAATACTAGACCCAGCTTAACTTTAATCAGGTAATCACAGGGAGGACTCAAAAATTTTGCCATATCATAGGGAGTGATAATCATACAGTATGGGAATAATTCTCTGGTTGATATAATTAGATATCATTTAGTAGAAAGAGTAGATCAGGCTAGGAATATACCACCCAAATCTGCAATAAAATTGGGGAACTCAAATATGTTTCTTTTTCTGATGACATGATTTTACATATTGAAATTTGTGTAAGTTATTTTTTGACTAACAAGCTCCAAGATGTTAAATTCGTGGCTCATGGAAAAGATATCTTCAGTAAAAACATAGTTTGCTGACGTCCTAAAGTAGATTTTTATGGTATGTTTGCAAAGGTTTTTAAATTTATCAGGGTCTTAGGGGCATCTTTGGATTTCAGTTGATGTGTGGAGTTCTTAGATTAAACTTTCAGTCAGAGAGCGCCTGGGTGGCTCAGTCGTTAAGCGTCCGCCTTTGGCTCAGGTTATGATCCCAGAGTCCTGGGATCAAGCCCCGCATCGGGCTCCCTGCTCAGCGGGAAGCCTGCTTCTCCTTCTCCCATTCCTCCTGCTTGTGTTCCTGCTCTCGCTGTCTCTCTCTCTGTGTCAAATAATAAAATCTTTAAAAAAAAAAACAAACTTGCAGTCAGAGACTGATGATTACTTTATTAAAGACAGGAAGATGTCTTGGATATAAAACCTTTACTTTCTTTTGATATTAGGAAGTCTGTAGTTTCACAGTTACTGTTCTTTTTCTATTTACTGTTGCTTAGAAATAGTGACTTGAGATGGAGAAAGCTGGATTTTGAACCAAAGGCTCCATTCACATTCAGGCAAGGGCCTGTCCTGGGGTGTGTGTTGTGTGTGAGAGAGAGAGATGTGACGAAGGTCAGGTGAGCACAAAAAATGCTTAGGGATGGAATGACACTTAATTTTTAAGTGATTGCAGAATGTCTGAGGTTGAAAACCATATCAATATATTTAAAACTCTTAATTTAAGAACAGATTTTTTTTTCGTATTTACAATGTTATCTTCCCTTTTTTCATTGGCATTCTTTTTTTTTTTAAATCCATCATGCATTATGATTGAAAATCACACAATTTATGGCAGAGAATGCAGTGAAAGTTATAATGTGACAATGTGATAATAGCCAAGACTGTCAAAATATGCCAGCCATGACATCCACAAAAGTAATTAGGCTCATTTGTGTTCTTAAAACTTGAGATGCATGTATAAAAATACCATTTTCTTCTGCTTGCTTACTGGCAATCTCATGCATTTTTTTCTGCACTGTCACATGTTCTCCTGTAGCAGTGTTAGGCTTTCTAATTAGGAATTGGTAGGATTTATCTTGCTTATTGAAGCCTATCAAAGTATATTCAGATATTTTCCAGTGGAAACATCTCAGTTTTCATATGAACTGATTAGCAAGAAGTGATGCTAAGTTGCAAAGTAAATACCAGATTTCTTTCTTAATTACAACTTTTATAATTAGGACACAGACAATCTATAGGGCCTTACCAATCAATCCTCTTACTTTTTTCCTTTTATTGTGGGGGCCTCTTCCTTTAATAGTATGTTGAGTAGCAGTAGTAATAGCAATCATCCTGGTCTTATCCTTGATTCTAAAGGGAATGCAACTAAATTTTCTCCATTAATTGGTGTAGGTTTTTGGAAGATATCCTTTATCAGCTTGAGAAAGTTAAACATTCCAAATTTGAATAAATGATTACTGTTATTTTCTTGCCTCTAGTGTTGCCTTTGGACTCAGATGACAATCTTATTGTTTTTCTTATGTGGGTGGACTTTTTTTTTTTTTCTAGGAAGTTTTATATTCTCTTTGTCTTCTTTGAGGTTTTAAAATTTCAAAATGTGTCGAAGTGTTTTATTATCATATACTGTTTTGCATTCTATGATCCTTTTCCATCTGAAAGGAGTCTTTAATTTTGGAAATTTCTTGATTGCTATTTTTTAAAAAACCATTTCTCTTTGTTTACATTTGTTTTTCTGAAACTCATTTTAGAACTCTGCTGTATTTCTTACCTTTTAATGCATATTTTTACATTGTTTCCCACCTGTGTGTGTTTTGTTGTCCTTCTTTCCTTTTCCTTTTATTGAGATATGATGTTACTACAGATTATTGTTGATCTTAATCTTCTACAGATTATTGTTGATTTTATTCTTAATAATCTGACTGGCTCACTTCCCCCCCCCAACCAGAGGGCAAATTTTTTTTTTTAATTTTATTTATTTATTTGACAGAGAGACAGCGAGAGAGGGAACATAAGCAGGGGGAGTGGGAGAGGGAGAAGGAAGCCCGATGTGGGCTTGATCCCAGGACCCTGGATCGTGACCTGAGCTGAAGGCAGATGTATAACCGACTGAGCTACCCAGGTGCCCCCAGAGAGCAAATTTTAAAGGACAAATGAACAGAATCAACAGTAGTCACAGAACAAATAGTAATACACTGACCTGAACCAGTTCAGATAAGCCTGGTAAGATGAGAAAAAGCAACTGAAGCAAATTTGTTCAGAAACCAACAATAATCCTTAAAATTAAGAAAGTTGAGCCAGACCAAAGCAGGTGATTTAAAGAGGTAGGGTAAAAGAGTAGAATAAGATATGAGTTTGGGAAATTACAATTTGGGCTATATGGATTACTGAGATCAAGGTAGACCATGTTCGTTTCATCGTAACTAAAACGAGAGCTTACAAGGCTCAGTTGATGAGCTGATTGATAGAAAAAGGGAAAAAACTGAATCTGGGACAGAGGAATGTTTTGACCTGAGGTATAACTATTTTTTGCTGCACAAATAGCTGAGAACATGCCATATGCTACAGGTGTTGGGAGATACTTTACATATAGATACTTGTAAAACTTAAAACAGCACTGCCAGTTGGTATTATTATTACATTTTACAAAATAAGAAACTAGAGCTGAGAGAAGTTTCTGTTCAGAGTCTTCAAGCTAGTAAGTTTGGCCTAATACTGTAATACTCTGTTCATCCAAAGGATAGACTTTCCATGGCCTCAGTTTTCTAGAAAATGGTGAAAAGTGGTAGTGATAATAATACCTTTTAAAAACCCCTAGACATCTTCTAAGAAGGGTGGAAAAGAACTGTTCACAAATGTTGCATTGTTCAAGAACAATGCAAATTTGGTCACTTGCACATTCTTATTTGGATAAATATGTTCAGAATAAAGAACAAGTTAACTGTGAGGAGAGAGGAAGACAAGAAATACAGAAATTAAATAAATCAGTAAACAAGAGAAACCAAAAACAGCCCTTCATTAGTGCCTAAAATATCACTGCATTGTTGTACAGTACAGTACCCTATAGGAGGAACATAGTCAAGGGCTAGTCTATATCTAGTAGAGTGCTAGTTAAGTTAGGTAAAAACAGAAGTTGTGGTCTTAAAACATCAGTCAAGCTACTGTCAGTTGGGAAACGTGCTGTCGGTGAAGCCCTCTCATTTCTCAACTCCACAGTTCTTTCTTTGGAAAACAGGCTGAAAAGTACTCAGAGTAGTCCAGACATTCTCAAAGAAGAAAAACATAACTGGTGGACTTAAATGACTGAGATATTAAGATTTTTATTATTAGGACTGGGTGGTATTGGTGTGAGGCTAGACAAAAATAGACCAGTGGAACAGAATAGAGAATCCAGAAATAGGGTCACATATATATAATCACCTGATGTAGAAATGTGGTAATAGAGTCTAGTGGAGAAAGGCTGGTCTATGAAATGCATGTTGCGAGACAGTTGGCTCTCTCTTTGGAAAAAAGTATATTTCAACTCTTAGAGAATACATACACAAAGCTCGGTTCCAGATAAAAATATGAAAGGTAAAAAAAAATAGTAAAGCTTTTAGAAGAAACTGCAGAACATCTTCAAGGAAGATGTTGGCAAGGACACAACTCTAAATGTAAAGGAAAGAAATGGGTCAGTTGGACTATGTTAAGAACTTCCGTTTATTGGGTTATCTTAAAGAAAGTGAAAAGGCAACCAAAGAGTGAGAGAAGACACTGAAAATACACATATCTAATAAAGAGCTCATATCCAGAATATTATAAAGAACTCTTAGATATTAACTAGAAAAAGACAGAAAATCTAATAAAAAATGAGCAAAAGACTTGAACAGATACTTCACTGGGTATGAAAATAGAGGGTATCTCTGTGGCTAATTAACATAAAAAGTATACAACTTCATTAGTTATCAAGGAATAGAAATGAAAACCAACGTGATACCGTGCACCCACTGGAATGGCTGAAATGAAAAAGGCAAAAAATAACCTGCGTGTTGGCAAGGATATGGAAGAACAGAGTTCTTGTTCATTGCTGATGGGAGTGTAAATTGTCATAAGCACTTTGAAAAACCATTTTGCATTGTCTAAAGGTGAATATATGCAAGCCCTGTGACAGCAATTTCAGAAGTCAGGGTAGTGGAGCCATTGCCGGGGCTCTGGGGGACCAGTACTGGAAGGGTCCATCCTGGGATGCTGGTGGCCTTCTGTTTCCCGACGTCGGTCAGATTTCATGGATATGTTCACTTTGTGATGACTTGTTGAGCTCTACCCTTAGGATTTATGTGCTCTTCTGTGTGTATGCTGTGCTTTGAGAGAAGTTCAGCATGTATGTTGAGAAGTGACTAATCTTTAGCTTTAGATTCCATTCTACTGGCTTTTAAAGATGACTTTTTAAGATAGAAATTACTTATTAATAATAGTTGGAGTTTAGGGAAAAAAATGAGCAGAAGACATATTTAAGAAGACCTTATACATTTGCATAAAAATTTTTACTGGGAGAAAAGACCTTTGTCTCCTAGGTGGTTCTTACTAGAAAACTTTTTGGTTATTTGATTTCTGAATTTGGGCCGTAAACCTATGTGAAGACCAGTTTAGTTTGTGATTACAAAATCTCATAGGAGATTTCCCTCTACATTAGCATCAGATTTTTTTTTTTTTGCAATAATCATAGGGGTGCATATATAGTTTAGAATTAGTTTAAATTTTCTTTTTAAAAATTATTTTTTATTATGTTCAGTTAGCCAGCATATAGTATATCATAAGTTTCTGATGTAGTGTTCAGCAATTCATTTTTTGTTTTCTTTCTTAATTTTTCCCCTCATTCTCAGAGTGAATAGGATGATGTGTGGTGGTAGAGGTGGTGATTTGGATTTCCAAGGCAGAGATCAGGAAACTATAGCCTATAGGCTTATCCTGGCTCAAGGCCTGCTTCTGTAAAGCCTTATTTTGGAACATAGCCATACTCAATTTGTTCACACATTATTTGTGGCTGCTTTTAGCTAAAATGACAGAGTTGAATAGTTGGGACAGAGACCTCATGACCTGCAAAACCTAAAATACTACTGTCCGGCCTTTTTACAGAAAAGGGTTGCCAACCCCCTGTTCTAGAGCACCTATTTCTAGAGCATTCATGCGAACCCTATGATGTGAGAGCCTTTGCTGTCTGAAATGATAGTCACTAGCCATATATAGCTATTTCCATTTAAATTAATTAAAGAAAATAAAAAACTCAGGTCATTTGTATTAGCCACATTTGAAGTGCTCGTCGCTATGTGTGGCAAGTAGAACTCTGTTGGACAACACAGATATGTAACATGTCCATCTAGAAAATTTTCTTTGGCCTCGAATGAGCCACTTTTTTTTTTTTTTTAAACTGTCTCCTTCATTGATAATCCCTGCTGCTGTGCCTATTTCTTTCATGTGGACTTATTTTCTCTTTTTTTCAGTCTTTGTAATTTTTTTTTCCATCCTCTTAAGACTGAGTTTGGTCCCAGTTTATTTAAATATTAATTATAGTAAATTTTCACAATTTTCTCTGTGTTCTCTCGTTCACCAAGAAAATAAGATACTTGATGGCAGGTACTGTGTTCTCTGTTGCTGTGTATGGTGCCTTGCGCATAGTAGTCTTTGTCACTGTTGTTTTGATATACACTGGATCTCCCTAAATAGTGTGAAATTATTTCAGTTTTTCCCCCCTAGGCATAACAAACTGTAAACTTCAAAAGAAAAAGGAAAAAAAGGATAAAGCAAAGATGGGTGAAAAGAAACCAGAGCCTTTGGACTTCGTGAAGGATTTTCAGGAGTATCTGACGCAGCAGACTCATCACGTGAACATGATTTCTGGATCAGTTAGTGGAGACAAAGACGCAGAGGCTCTTCAGGGAGGTAGACTCATCTTAATACTATTAAATAATTCATTTTTCATAAATATATTAATACTTTTGTGTAGTTATCTGTACGGTGAAGACCACCAATCACTAATGTGAATCATTCCATTTTTACTTAGAAAGACACAGGGCAATTTGTTTTCCCTTTTAAACATGTCAGATTTTTGTTGAGGGAGAATGAAACTTCCCAAGGGCCCAACATAGTCTAGAGAGGCATTATGGTCTTGTTGGAAGGTTAGGAACTCTAAATATCCTTCCCATCTTCTAAGTTCTATTAGCTAACAGTAGACCCGAGGAACCCAATGCGGGTAGAGAGCATCAGCTTCACTACACAAAGGATTTGGCCAGTGAGAAATCTGGATTAGACCAGAGACACAATAGGGGTTTCTTTTTCTTCTCTCTTGAAATGAAGAAAGGGCTGACCGTGTTTACTTCTCTAGACAGAGAATCAGAATAGGGAAAGCAGCGACCCTCTTGAGCCTGCTACAGATAGACTTTTGTCTGGTTTGCTTACCACACAGACTGACTGGAATCTGTTCCTGAACGTAGCTCAGGGGTCAACAGACTACAGCCCATGGGCCCCATCTGGACTGCGAATTGTTTTTGTATGACCTGCGGACCAAGAGTGATTTCTACATTTTAAAATGGGAAAAAAAATCAAAAGAATACTATAATATGTGCAGATTATATGAAATTCAGACTTCAGCATCCATAAAGTTTTATTGAAACATAGCCACACTTGCTTGTTTACATATTTCCTGGAGCTGTTTTTGTGCCATAACAGTGAAGCTGAGTAGATCTGGTAGAGAACAGATGGCCCACAAAGCCTAAGGTATTTAATATCTTATCATCATGGGAAAAGTTTGCTGACCCTGATGTAGATAGTCTGTGGCCTTGTTGTCCAGGAACTAGCAGCAGAGACCAGGCATCACCTGGGAGCTTGTTAGAAGTGTAAATGGTCAGTCCCCACCGCAGATCTACTGAATCAGGATTTGTGTTTTAATAAGCTCCCCACATGATTAATATACACATTGAATTTTGAGAGTCACTGGCTTGGGAGAGAAATCGAATATGGGGACACCGAGCCTTGTCCCTCCAATGTAGTGGCACCGTTGGATATTGGATTTGCACCCACCAGTAAAATCACTTCTCCTGGTGAAGCGGGGGGAGGAAACAGTGGAGGAGGGGCTTGACTTGTTCTTACCGGTACTGCTATTTCCTGGGGATAAAGTAGAAGTGTTTTTCCCAAGAAGTTGTAGGAATAAAAATGTCCCTCCTGAAACTCTGGTGTACAGACTCCTGGACTGAGATTCAAGAGACCAGGTTGTAGTCCCCACTGCGTGCTGGTTTTCCTGATATGAGCACTTGCTCCTTCAGTTTCTTTATAGATACAAAGAAGTAGTTGGGTTAAATTAAAAGCAAAGGGCTAGACAAATATCTTTTAGCTTTCAAATTCTTACAGTTCTAACATTCAGAGGTATCAGATATAGTATCTTCCTTTATGTGCCTAGTTAGAATTTTAAGATCCTAAATGCATCCCAGAATCTAGACCATGTATAAACCAAATAAAACAGGGCCAAACTCAACATTAATTGCTTTAGACGACAGTAAACTGAGTTAGGATTTGGGGAAATTATCATGACTGCCGATGATAATACTTGTAGAAGTGGCTAGGATCTTAAACGTGTATTGCTTTGCCATTATGGTTTACTCCCCTCTGTTCTCCAGACCTGTCAAAAAAGGATAATGCCCTATTCTCCTCTTCAAAAGCATGCTGAGGACTGATAAAATTTATGTGTAAGTAATTTGAGGTCCCCCTATAAAAGGTTCTCAGCAGAATACTACTTTCGTATGAAATTAACCTCTGTTCAGAAAGTCTGTATTTTCTGAGTTAGGTTTTGTGCTAAGTAAGCTGTCAATTTATGAAAGATTTTCTACCACTCAAGACTAAAATGCTAAATTGAGTTGATTCTGAGATGCATAATTTTTTTTGCTACACTTTGTTTATAGCTGGAACAGATGGTGATCAGAATGGACTTGATCACCCATCTGTTGAAGTTTCCCTGGATGAAAACTCAGGAATGTTAGTAGACGGGTTTGAAAGGACCTTTGATGGGAAGCTCAAGTGTCGGTACTGCAACTATGCCAGCAAAGGAACAGCCCGGCTTATCGAACATATTAGAATCCACACAGGTAATGGCGAAATGGCTGGAGGAGGTGTTTCTTTGGGGGCAGGAGAGGGGCCAAGGAAGGCAAGTTGATCTGATGTATAAGTAGTTCTGATAGTTTAAAATTGAAGGTTGATATAAGGTATGAATAAATGGAGAAGTTACTCCATTTTTTCAAAACATTGGCATAACAAGATACAAATGGGAAGTAGGGCCCCTTCTAGAGCTCCCCCTTCCTTAGCCATCTTTCTTCTTGATCCACATCCTCTCTCACCATCTGTCTGCTTCTAAGGCTGGGCAGGTTAATGCTGAAGGTAGCGTGAAGTGATAAAATGTTTTTATCTTTATCCTCTAAGTATGTTTCAGTTGCCGACCGGGGACAGGGCTTTTATACAGTTGCAGACTGCACCGCTAATCCTTAGGGCTCACCTTAGCCCTCCCACCTTCTGAGAAGCCCTCTTAACTATGCCCTGCCCTGGCCCAAGACCTGGTCAGATGTCCCACTCGTGTGCCCTGTGGGGTCTCATGCTGTGTCTGAGGACAAGGCTCATGTCAGGGCCATGTTTGTGCCCGCAGAGCCTAACAGAGCATCGGACACATAGTAAGGACTCAGTACTTATTTGTTACGTTAATGACTCCAAATATTTATTTTACATATTTGCGCCATTTTCAGCTAATGGCACTGACTACAGTTGTCCCTTTTGGCAACTGAAGAGGAGAGGAGGAAGGTAGAGGTGAAGCACTGGCCATTTTGAAGGAACGCTTTGCATAATTCATATTTGGACTGGGAAGCTCATTTCCCTTTTGAGCTTTCGATTTAATAGAAGACCTTTTTAGAAAAGTTTTTTTGTATTTTTTCCTGAGGAAGGGGTATTTGTGTGTGAGTGTTTGAAGAAGTGTTCATGTATAGATGTGCTTAAACATAACTGACACATACTTTTGATAAAATCATTATTATGTAGGGAATATTATTGCCAGTTTTGCTACTTTTTCCCCAGATGCCAGTTGAAGCCATAACAATTTCTACAGTATACTGACTAATAGAACATATCTATAGATCTCAAATTGTTGCTGATGAGTTAAGGCTTTAAGTTGAAGAAAGCTAATCAGTTTCTAAGTCTAATGAATGGACAACACATGAAACTTTCCATAAATGAGCTACTCTTGCAGTTTCTCCCCCATTTTTCTTTTTAAACAGGTGAGAAACCTCATAGATGTCACTTATGCCCATTTGCATCTGCTTATGAGCGTCATCTGGAAGCCCACATGCGTTCCCATACAGGAGAAAAACCATACAAATGTGAATTATGTTCCTTCCGCTGCAGTGATCGAAGTAACCTGTCCCATCATCGAAGGCGCAAGCATAAAATGGTACCAATTAAAGGTACTAGGTCTTCCTTAAGCAGCAAGAAAATGTGGGGAGTTTTACAGAAGAAAACAAGCAATCTGGGCTATAGCAGAAGAGCATTAATCAATTTAAGTCCACCTTCCATGGTGGTTCAGAAGCCAGACTACCTTAACGATTTTACCCATGAAATCCCAAATATCCAGACTGACTCCTATGAAAGTATGGCAAAAACCACATCAACTGGTGGCCTACCAAGGGACCCCCAAGAACTCATGGTTGACAACCCTTTAAATCAGCTCTCAACCCTGGCAGGACAGTTGTCTAGTTTGCCACCAGAAAACCAAAACCCTGCATCTCCTGATGTAGTTCCCTGCCCTGACGAGAAGCCTTTCATGATGCAACAGCCCTCTGCCCAAGCAGTGGTTGCTGCCGTGTCAGCAAGTATTCCTCAGAGCTCCTCTCCCACGAGCCCGGAACCTCGGCCGTCACATAGTCAGAGGAACTATAGTCCGGTGGCAGGTCCGAGCAGTGAACCAAGTGCCCACACGAGTACTCCCAGCATAGGAAACAGCCAGCCGAGCACTCCAGCTCCAACCCTCCCGGTCCAGGACCCGCAGCTTCTACACCACTGCCAGCACTGTGATATGTACTTTGCCGACAATATCCTTTACACTATTCATATGGGATGTCATGGGTATGAAAATCCTTTTCAGTGTAACATATGTGGTTGCAAATGTAAAAACAAGTATGATTTTGCTTGTCATTTTGCAAGGGGACAGCATAACCAACACTGATTGAAAATAATCATATTATGCTTTACTTGGTTTTACCTTTTTGTGTTTTATAGTTTTGTTTATTGGTTTTTTTTCCCCCGGGGGGGGGGTCATTCCTAATAAGGTGTCCGCTAATTTAAAGTCTATATATTTATAGAATATAAGTTTGTCAGTGGAAACAAAAATTTTTTTTTCTATAAAAATCTGGTCAGGCTTATTTATGTATTAGAGCAGTGAGACACGTTGGTGTCTGTTTTTTCCTTTCACTTAGTTGAGAACTGGAGTGCAATCATAATCCTAACAGGTATTCATTTACATTTCCCATACTTATGGTCCATAAACACTTCAGAGCTTACTGATACTCTTGTATTTCAACATATACATTCAGCTAGATATTACTTCTGCCACATTCAACATGGTAGAATTACTGTCTCTTACAAAGTCTATTACAGTTTATTTCAGTGTTTAGTAGAGGAATTGCCTTTAACCTCGTTCTTTGTCAACGTGCTGTTTCATTCACATTGCTGAATGTTCACAGTACTTTCATTTCACCTGATAATCACAGAGCTATTTAGTGTAGCAAATCCTTCTTTTTTTTTTTTTCTTAAGGGGAAATGTAAAACAGGTCATTATTTTTAAATTGAAGTTATAAAAATATGAGGCAAAAGTTCTGAAAAGAAATTGAAACCGAAATTGAAAAATGGGTTTAATACTTAAAATACCTGTTCGTTCAATTTCTAGTTTAAATATGTCAGTTTTCCATTGGATTCTTTTTATTCTGGTTTATTGTAAAAACCACATGAAATGCTAGAAATATCAGGATTATCTCTAAAGATGCCTTTTTTTTTTTTTAATTTGAATCTTTCATTTAAATTCTTCACTCTGACATTATTAGTGTCAGGTGAGGTTGACAAGTATACTGAGAATCTGTTATTCCTCCTATTCCTTTGATGACCAAAGAGGTACAGTGGTAGTCATCTACCTTATTCCTTGGAAATGCAGTCCTTCAAAAGAAAAAAAAAAATCTCTGAAGTTTCCATTTCTTGCCTTCTATCCCATTTACTGCCTGTAATTTCCAAGAAGAGGTGGGTATAGAAACACATGGGAAAATAGGATGGTGAAGTAATACTTAAAAAAATGAGAACATGTGTCCACCAAAACAAATTCTGGTTTTCCCTTCAGAATTGGCCATTTAAAATATTTTCTGTGAATTCAGCTTGTAATGCTTATTTGCAGTTCTGCCAGTTTTTCAAGGATAGTGACAAAACTAGAGACTGACTGAATCGTCGCCTTAGTAGGAAAGGGTACAAAAGTGGGAAAATAGATATAAAATGCATTTAAATGTGATAATTTGTTTACAAAAATATGACTTGCTAAACCTAGAATAATTTTGAATAGGAGGCTATTGTTTTTATATTGTGTAATAACTAGCTTACTCTAAGAGAGCTTGGTCAAACAATAAAATATATTGTTACTAACTGTTGGTTTCTGTGTACTTTGGAAAAGTTTCATTTTTAATTTGGTTCAAATCTTGAAAGTGTTGCTAATCGGCTTCTTAAAGAGAATACCCGAACTATGAAGCATTTATTAAGCAAAAAGGACTTACACTCTTCTGTAGCAAATAAAAAGGGAAATGGTGACAGTAGGCGTTCACCAAAACCCCCACGTGCCAAGTTAATGGATCTTCTGCCCTTCTTTCCAAATGCTAGAAAGCCATTAAAATGAGTTCTCGTGGTTTAATATCCAGTCAAAACTAACCTCAACAGCATTGTTCAAAGAGCAGCAAAGAGTCTGTCAAAACTATAAATAACTCTCTCCCTTGTCAAATCTGGGGCTTCTGAATCTACAGTTGTGTTTCTCTTGTTGCTTAAATCACTCATTGCTCAGATCAGCTTGAATGCAACCATTTCCAAATGTGGAACTTGGCTCTAGTATTTATTTATTGCCAGAAAGAAACAGGTTGCTGTCATTTGGAAGCTTTTGTAATTATTTTCTTCCTTCTCACTTTTATTCTTCACATAAAAGCAATACCCCAAGATAGAAAATGAAAGCTTTCATTAAAGAGAAAGAACCCTCTTGTTAAAACCAGTTTCTTAACTCTATATTCTGGGCCAAATAGTGACACTTTTTTTCTGGCAACTAAAGATAGATGTTTTGAAGGTACATTCTAATTTAAACAGAAAATATCTTTTTTCATAATTATAACTAGAATGTATAATTCTAATTTTCCTATGACTTAAAAGAGCACAGTTGGTATCCCAAAGGTGTCATTGCTTGAGAGCTACAATTAATTCTAAATGCACTAAAGTTTTTGAATCAAATCTACCTTATAAACTTTTTTAGTATTGTATTTTTAAAAAGATTTAGGATTTTATTTAAATTTTCTGAGTTAAATTTTATACATGGAAAGATGATACTATCTTCCATTAAGTGTTGAATACGTTTCTCCCATTTTATTTTTAATCAAATATTTTATAGAAATGAGCTGCTAGGAAAAGTTGAACATGAACTATTTATAGTACTTTGCTGTTAACAGGCAATGTTCTAAAACTAAATGTATTTTTGTTCAGTGAACATAAGTTTAGATTTTTAAAGTTGGTAGATAATTTATCTCCACTAATATTTTTTTAAGAAACTGTGAAGAGATTAACAGGGAATAATTTCATTTCAGATTTTACTAATATAGTATGTAGCTACAACTTCTTGAAATTCAAGTAAAGGCTAGACTTTTACTTTGAATATTTTCCAGTGCTATTTCATTTTAGAAATAAGTGTTTGCCATTCATCTGCAGAACTGTTTGACAAAGGGAATATTACTTAAGAAATGTTGAGATAAACCTCATTTTAAGTTCTACAAAAATATTTATCAAGTGGATGTATTATTTAAAAAAAAAAAAAATTCCCTGCTAAGGACTTTTTCATTAAATAGTCTTAGAGGGTATATGATTTCTAGAACTTGTTTTTGTTAATATGTACTTTGATGTAAAAACATATTTTGTACGCAAAACATAAAACTTGAGTATGGTTGCAAAACACTATATTGTTTAGGGATTCCAGAGAGTTCAATGCTGAAATAACTATTATCTAGTCTGTAGTTCCTATTGTGAATGAAGCTTTGCTTTTGTAATACATGAATAAAAAAAATAACACTTTCTATTGATCTCGATTTTTCTTCTTAAAAACTAGGATCCAATTTTTTAGTAATTTTCCAGTACGTAAACTGTTAATAAATTAAAAAAAAAAAAGGTTTTATGGCTACTTTGGTTTGAATCTGTAGAATGCCTTACCCATGAGAAGATCGGTCACGTGAGTTAAAGACAAAAATGGCTCCATGCATCCACATCTTGTCTCCTTCCTAGTCTTTCTGCTTTCCTGAAGATCCATTCAATAAGACCCCTGTCCCCACCATCCCCACCCTCAGGGTTTGGCACATAAATGAGGACGCCTGCCTGCCTCTGGTCCCTAATTAGCCATGTCATGTCTGACAAGTGACTGAAGTTATTTCTGTTATGACAAATGGATCTTTAGAATGGACTGTTGCTTTTTTTTAAATAAGTCTTTGGCAATTCCCATCACTGGGCGAGAAAACATCCAGTAACACAAAATTGTTTTAGTTTGCAAAATCTTTACCAAAATCAGACATTTGATCGGAAGTTCAGAAGTTTTAATGTGGCTTTGAAAAATATTTCTGGACAATGTTGTCTTTCTCATAATGAAAACAAGAAATAACATCTGATATGTGGATGGTTTGTTGAGAGCACAGGTATTTTTTGTTTCCATGTCTTAGGTCCTCCAAAAACTCTGCTTTGAGCTTGTTGAGTTCTTCTGCTAGAAGCTTCAGGTTGAAAGGAAGCACTTGTTCATCTAAAATGAAAAGATACTCTCAAAATTGTGTAAACTAAATCAAGTTGGGCTGTCTGATAACATCAGGAAATGAATTTGAATACTTCAGACAAACCAATCAGATTATTCTGTTAATAATCACAGTCGAGGAGGTGTACTATAGAAACAAAGGTCCCATTCATGTGACAGCAAACAAATCTTTTCAATACCTGGCTGTGAAATGCGTGAGCATAAACGATAAGCCTGAAAAGGATTTTTGTTGTTGACAAGGTAGTTGATTTAGAATCTTCTTGAACTAACAGGTAGTAAGGCAAAAAAGCAGAACTAGGAAATGACAATTTGGTTTGAAACTGTGATAAATCTCCAGAGCAGCTGTCTAATCTATAACCTCCTACAACGATGAAAATGTTCTGTCCTACTCAACTCAGCAGCCACCAGCCATGTGGGTAATGTGACTGAAACAAAATTGCTTTGTTATTAAACAGCTTTACAGAAAACTGGCATACCATACACTTTATTCATTTAAACCACGATTCAGGGTACCTGCAGATATGGGCAACTATCCCCGCGGTCCATCTGAGAACATCTCATCGTCTCAGAAAACTGTGTCCATTAGCTCCCACCCTCCTACCCCAGCGTCCACCCCGCCCCAAATCCGTAAGCAACGACTAATGTACTAATGGGGCTCTAGATTTCCCCTTCTGGGCATTTCACATGAGGGGACTCAAGCAATGCGGCTTTTTGCGATGGCTTCTTTCACTTTGCGTACTGTTTTCAAGGTTCATCCTAGCTACTAGGACTGATGCTGACACAAGTATTTGTGTACACATATTTATATGAACATTTGCTCCCAGTTCTCTTGAGCAGACACTTAGGAGTGGGACGGCTGGCTCCCACGGTAACGCCGTTTAATTGTTTGAGGAACTGCTCGGCTGTTGGCCAAAGCAGCTGCACCATTGCCATCAGCCGTGGACGAGGGTTTGCATTTCTCCACATCCTCACCACCCCTTGCAACTTAATTAATTGAGTCTGGCTGGCCTAGTGGGTGTGCAGTGGGCTCTCGTGGTTTTGGTTTGCATTTCCCTGAGGACTACCGAGAAGTGAGTTCTCTTATGGTTTGGCCATTGAAATGGAGAAAAGTCTATTCAGACCCTTTGCCCATTTTTAAAATTGGATCGTCTTTACTGCTGAGCGGTACCAGTCCTTTACCTCTTTTGGATACAAGTCTCTTAAGATCTGCAAGTGTTTTCTCCTGATATGTGGGCTGTCTTTTCACTTTCTTGATGGTAGGAGGAATGAATTTCTAATTTCATTTAAGTATGGATCTAGAAGCTAGTAGCACCTCCCTCACCTAAATAAATAAATGTGTATTGTAATGGGTGGGAAATGAGTCAAGAGTGATTTGGACATAATCCTATTCCCCCTTCGCCCCTTCTCTTCATTTTACATAGAAGGCAAGAAAGGCAAATGGTTGAGAGAGAACTCCTGCAACTATCTTTGTCTCTATTCTAATTATGCTGCTGTTTGTTCCAGGCCTTTGGTTTTCAAACTCTGGACTGTAACCTACCGGTGAGATGCAAGTTGCAAGCAGCATTTTTCTAAAATGAAATCAAATAGAACATAGTAGAGCCCACTACACATGTGAGGGTTTTGTGAAACCTGTTGCCACACATGCGTGTGTTCGTGTACTGGGCTACACCCTAGGGTACAAGATAAAATCTGCTTATGGATCATATGAAAAACACCATACGGTTAGTGTACTGTTTGCTTTCCCAACAGTTCCAAGCTTTTGTAAAGGTATTAATGATCAATGCTGGTGATGTGGGGAGCCTAAAAGAAAGCACACACTTAAGTCAGACTTGACTCTGAACCCAGGCCGTCCAAGCATCTAGCAGCCGTTCAGCCTTGTGCAAGTTACTTGATCCTCCCAGAACCTTCATGTCCCTATCTGTAAAACTACACTCACCTCACGGGGCTGTAAAGACTGGCAACGCTGAGCACATAAAAGCTCAAGAAATGTTAAGCTAACGATAGTTTTTAAATCAAAATTTAAATAAAGCAAGGAGTTCAATATTTAAAACCTGAAGGAGTTATTTTCTAGAACTAGCACATACTCCATTCAAGTTCAGACAGACAACACACTGAGCTTGGCAATTTGACATGTGGCCCCTGACCACCTCTCCCCGTTCCTTACTTCACCCGACTCAATGGCCACTTTTCTGCTCCAGAACTTACCAGACAACTTCACCTCTGGGCTTCTGCATTTGTGGCCACTGCCTGGAATGATCTACTATCAGATGACTGCGTGTTCGCTCTTTCTGTTCATTCATATCTCGGCTTAAATGTCATCGCTGAGAAGCCTTCCAGACTATCCTTTAAAAAGAAGCTCTCCCATCACTCTACATTGCCTTTCCCTACTTTATTTTTCTTCAGGGCACCAGCAGATACTCATGTGCTTGTCTGTCTGTCTGCTCAGTATAACATTCTACTCCCTTCTGATGCCCCGGTATTCAGAATAAAGCCTAGTACAGAGTCACCACTCAATAAAAATGTATTGGATGGATGAATACCCTGTTCTAGGGGTAGAATTTTTAGTTTTTATATAACCAAGCTGCACACTGAAACTGAAAACATGATGTAAACATTGGGACTGAAATCTAATAAACTACCCAAAGTGTCAAGGAGACAGGAATAGCAGCAAAGTCGTACCAGCTAAACCCCATTCAACTACCCAACATACCTTTTGCTTCCTTCATCGTCTGAGAGACAATCCTTCGGAGCGTCTGGTCAGCTTGATGCAGAACGTTAGTTGAACAAATAATTCTGTCTGTTTCCTATGTAACACAGACATCGTTATTGGAAGTTTTAGAAAAGGACGGCTAAAGTGTGACACGTATTTGATAAGACGGAAAGGAAAGTGAAGATGGCTTTTCTGTTCCGGTTGTCCTTCCCTAGAAGATGGGTCCCATCTAGATAGTGGCTGCTGGTAAATGTCTAATAACAGGCTCTCCAGAAACAACAGCAACACAACCTGTTTCCAGTGTTTGTCAATGTCTCTGGTGCACGTATTCCTGTCCTTGCCCGTTTCAAGTTACCAACGCCAATATAATGGTGACAGGCTCCAACATTTCTGAGAGTTTTGACAACTGGCTCCGACCAGCTGACACACCACCGCAGCCAGGAGTCAGAAGCTGAGAGCTGCCGGGACGCCACGGCAGTGACAGCATTTTCCACATTTTGCTCAGAGTTTACACTCAGCTCAAAAGGACATTCATTCCTTCAGAAAGCGGTGCCTTCCCATGTATACTAAATCTATCCTGGAAGATTTACCTTTTGTTCCACATTGTCCTCAATATATTTTACTGGATTTTCCAAAGCAGTAAGCAATAAATCAGTCAACTTCAGGCTATGAGAGAAGGGGAGATAAAATAAATCCTTATATCAAACATCTTTTTTTAAAAGAACTGGTGTTCATGAATACTAAATTGAATTCTAGAGGAATAGATGTGCTATAACCCCAAGATCCTAAGCCAAAGTGGAAAAGTGAAATGATTTGGAAGCTACCTTCTACTTGCAAAATCTAAAAGTAGAAGCCCAAAACAAATTATAAGGCAAAAGAATCCCCTTATTTAAAAAAATATTAATTTCCTAAAACATTTCAATAAGCTTTCGAAAGACATCCTCTCTTGTCCCTCATTAAGTGCTAAACTTTAGGCTACTACAGCTCTATTTTATTCTCTAAAGAGGGATACTTGGTCTGTACTTTCTGGCTTCTGCTTGTTTACTGGATGTAGGTTAGCGAAGTTATTCACTGGTCAAGGGGCCACGGAGGGCTGAGGCAGAATTCATTCATTTAACAAGATTTTATTGAGTATCTTCTTATATGAAAAATATACAACCATGTACGTGAGGCGGGGGGGTACAGCGAAATCCCTATCCTCTCCAAGCCTGGTAATGATTCCATTGTCTGTCTCAATAATTAAGCAAAAATTTATAATTTTAGATAGTGACAAGGGTTTGAGTAAAGACCGTAAACAAAGTGATGGTGTTAAAAGAGTGACTGGTTAGTCCAATGAACACTCCTCACGTTAGTTAGGATGGTCAGGAAAGTCAATCAAGCATAAATAAGTGGGGAGGGTAGAGGGGACAGCAAGTACAAAGGCCCTGAGGCAAGAACAAGCTCCTCCTGTTCATGGAACAAAGGCCAGTCTGGTTGACAAGCAGCAACGGGGGAGTGTTGTAGGGAGGATATGAGGTTGCAAAGTTAACTGGGGTTAGAACACGTAATTTATGGTGAGGAGTTTGAATTCTACTCAGAGTGCAGAGCGTGGCACTGAAACAATTTAGGCTGGTGGGAGTTAAATCTCAACCTCAAGATGATCTTTCTCATGCTGGAAAGAGCCAGGTTCTGGAGTGAGTGAGACTGCACTGGGTCCAAACCTTGGGTCTGCCACTTACTACCTGGATGTGTAACCTTACTTACCTGGGCCAGTTACCGCACCTATAAAATGGGGCTAATTCTACTTATCCTCAAGAGTTGTTTGTGAGGATTGAATGAGATTAAACATATGACGTGTTCAGAACATGCCCGATACATAGTATCTGCTGTTGCTCTGAGTAGTAACACTATTAGTGGTAGTGGTGGTTACACAGTAGTACCTTACAGAAGCCTGGAGAAGGTACATTTGTCAGATCATCTTTCAACTTCCAATACAGGGCCACCAGGTTTCAAACAACCCCTTCACTGATGCTGTAACTATTTTGGACCTGTGAGAACAGGTGGCCAGGTCCTGAAGACCCAAGACAAAACAGATTATGCTAAGTGTTGGCAACAGCATGGGAGAAACTCCCACTCTTCCTTGCTTTTAGCAAGAACTGGCCCTCACTCATCTCAAAACATTGAGAACATTAGGCCATTCTCACGGGATAGATATCTTGATGCCTCAACCAGCCATTCAACTTCCAAAGGAAAAAATCTTAAGTATTCCAGAATGAGTAGCAATCAGCTGGTTACGGGCCTGCTCAAAGTTTCAGGATATTAAAAGTTAAAATTAGAAACCTCAGCCGTAGCTCATTTCATAAACCCTATAAACAACAGTCTCTTAAATCCATTTTTTTTAGTATATTCAAGTATATATTATGAAATGCATGGAAAACTGTATCTTGGGAACCAAACATTTTGAGGAATGAATTTTAAAAATTAGCGTTTTAAAAATTGCTGATCCAGGGCGCCTGGGTGGCTCAGTCGGTTAAGCATCTGCCTTCTGCTCAGGTCATGATGCCAGGGTCCTGGGATCGAGCCCCACGTTGAGCCCCCTGCTCAGTGGGGAGTCTGTTTCTCCCTCTCCCTCTGCCTGCGGCTCCCACTGCTCATGCTCTTTCTCTCTCTCTCAAGTCTTTAAAAAAAATAAAAAAATAAAAACTCCCGACCCCCTGTGGACAACGGCCAGGCAGGGGCTATGGAAATGTACGCAAGATAGCTCTAGAACTCTCCTATGATACAATAACCACTAGCCACAGGAGGCTATTTAAGTTTAAAGCAATTAAAATAAAATTCAAAATTCAGGCCATCAGAGGCGCTGGCTGTTGCAAGAGCTCAACAGTCACGTGGCCAGCAGCCGCTACACGGGACAGTACAGATAGAAAACATTTCCGTCATCCGTGAAAATTCCATTATAAATGTGCTGCTGCAGAACTCTCAAGACACAGACCATGAACGGAAGCATTAGCACCACGGCCCACAAGCCTCACACACATGCGGCCGTGTAACAATAGGGAGGTTGAAGGCAAAATTCCGACTCAGCTACTTCCACCCTTTTTCTTTCTAGAAGAAAATTACTGGGCAACCTGTTTAGACTGTGCTACTTTAGCGAGTTTCAAAGATGCACCCCACTCTGCATTCCCTGCGCGGATCTCCCGTGACAACACAGTCTTCACGAGAGTACACGTTTGCACGCACACATCTCCACCGCCACGAGCTTGAGGGCTCTGGGCAAACAAACTTTCTCACTCTGTGGCCTCTTCTCCGTAAAGGGAAGGCAACAATCTCTAAGGCTTGTGCAAGTATTAACCAAGTGGACACGCGTCAAGCAAGGAGCACTGTGCCCGGCTCAGGGAGGCACCCGGTGACGGTCAGCTTTGTGGGGGATACCTGGCTTCAGAAGAGCATGGCGTACTCTGAATTGTGAGGCTGTTGTGTTCCCAGGCATTTTTCCCAGGGTTGGGCTTCTCTATCTTTCTTGCCATCAGGTGAATGGTCTCGGCAGGCAGTGCCCGGCATCTCCGGCCATTCCTCTGTAAACAGGTCTCGAGAGGACAATCTAAAAAAAGCTGGCAAAAGCCTAATGAATCTGAAAACAACGTTAAACCACAGAATTACTGGTGCACTGTTTTTTTCCAAAATGTGACATAAACAAATTAGACAAATTATCCTGGCTGCAGCAGGAAAAAGCATTTGCAATGCTGAACATCTAGCTTTGAGAATTAAGTAAATCAATACTAACTTCCCGATCCAATTAAATTCTAAGAACGGGAGTGATTTTGATATGCAAACAAATGTCTGTGTGTAAGAAAAAAAAATGTTTGAATTACATTTCCGAGCCAGTTGGTAGACTTCGTATCTCATACTTTGATAATAAAAGTTGTCATCTAAGATCAAAAACAAAGGTCTAGAAACAGAAATCTTCGTTAAGAGGTAGCAAGACTGGGTCTCCAGCGCAGCAGAAGATATCAGATCTTGATCCTTTAAGCAGCTTATAAAATCCTCCCACAGGGCTGCAGTCCTGTTGGGTGGGGCAGACATCTGACACCCGTTAATGACAGCCATCAAGAAGTATTCTAGGTACTTCAACAGTTCCTGTCGAAGCAACTTCCATTGGGATGGCTACAAAAGACGGAAGAATTAACAATTTACATTAGGCTCTGGCCAGTAGGGTGGTCACCATTGACTGCCACCCGCCGTACAGGGACATTTCAGCTCACAGCACTAAACCATCTGGAATTCTCTGAGCACAACTTCTTCTGTCATGCCTCCGTATCTCCACGTATATATGGTTTTCTCTGCCCAGAAACTCCTACTCACTGATGTTAGTCCTCTGACGTCTCCTCAGACTCAACCACGCAGGAGACAGCTCAGACCCTCCCTTGCCTACGTGACATCTTGCTCTGCAAATAGCGGGTCTCCGCTCTAGCAGAGGGTGTAGGCGTTTGTTTGCACATCTCTATTTCTCTGTTAGATCAATCGTCTGTCCACCATTACCCTCCAGAAGAAATGAGCCAAAATCAATATCCTGCCGAAATAAAATAGTCTGGCTTAGATATACCTATGCTGGTTTGCCCTCGAAATGAGAAAAGTTGTGGACAGAAAAGATCAGCTGAAAGATGCCTGGGTCAAGATGAGAAGACTTCAGGCTAACAACAGGGTTGAAATGGGATGGGGAACGACAGAGATGGTAGACTGAAGGGAAGAGAATAAGTAACTTGAGAATACAGGTAATCTTGTGCTGCTCAAGCACTGTGGACAGCAGGAACAGTTATGAGGTCCAGGCTGGAGAGAACACATAGGAACACGAGATAAGGTTCCCTCTCCCGTCCATGCCCTGCCACATCACTGAGATTACAACACATATAACAAATACATCACCTAAACCTACTAAAAAGGAAACAAGATCACTTCCTAGAAGGTGAGATTTCCTACCCATGGTGACTAGGTGAGTCCCGTGGCCTTCGTCTGTAGGGAGGAGGGGAAAAAATATAATAAAAGTGAGGAAAAAGTCCAGCAAATAACGATTCCTATCAACAACTTCCAGCTTTCACTCAAGTGGTGAAAATACTATCATCCAACTAAATCTAGTGCTACCAGGGACTTGATACTGCATTTACCTCACAATTAAACAAGAATAAGAAAGTATATATAATTTTGCTGGAGCAGTCCAAAATGTTTCCATCCACCAAATGTACTGTATTTGTACATACATATTTACAGAGTGGAATCACATCATACTTGCGTGTTATTTAGGTGCATCCATCTACACTAGGGTATTAAACGACAAATATATTTTAATTTTTCAGAATCTGTCATGTCAAAGAGGATTTGCTCTAGAGTGAGAATGAGATGGGTGACATGAATCTACTCTCCCCTCAGAGATCTGTTCTCGTATGCTTCTCCACGGGGATGCATCTCGCTGCACTGAGTGTGATTTGAAGGCTTAAAGGGAAGTGTGTACTTGGAACATACGAGCTGGTCACTAAACAGATGCCCATTACTTCATCTGGTGATCAACTAAGAAACAACCATCTTTTCCTATGCTGGCAGAGGAAGATTTACCCTGAGATGAATGAAAAGTGAGCTTCAGAGGCCAGGCCCTTCATTTGTACAGCCACTCTATTACCATGGGGGGGACCCTAGGAATTTTGTTATTTATAATTCTGTATCCTTTTACTTAAAAAAATTTCCGCAAATTGTATAAACTTAAAGATCCACAAAGACTCGCCCATGGCTGATGTTAAACTGGCTGTGTTGAAATTTTTAAGAGATTCCGCCCCTTCCTAGGAATATTCTTCCTAAAGGATTTTTCAAGAGCATTCCTGACCATGGGGGGGTGGGGGTTCCATGTTACACGCTGACAAAACCCAACGCTGTCTTAAGCCTCACTCTATAGAAGATACAATACATACATGCCCCAAATAGACATATAAATCTCTACAATGAATTACTTTAAGATGGAGTCAACATATTCTGTACTAAACCAACTCCACTCTTCTCGAATCCCGGTCTCTCCCCCTCTGTCAGGGACGCACCTCCCACACTAGGTGTAGTCCAGCATTTAGTGGGAGCCCCTCCATTTCCTTCGAAAATCGGGGTCTAGGCCCCGCCCCTTCCGTACTGACCAATGGCCGCGCGCTCGCCTCCTCCAGGAACGCGTCCGGCATGACGTCATCATAGATGACGACCCCGACGGCCCAGCCCCGCTCCTCCCGTAGCCGGTGGCTGAGGGCCCGCGCCAAGGTCGATTTTCCTGCTGCCGGGAGGCCGCAGAGAAGGCAGAGGCCTATCTCCCGCGGTCCTTCGCTGCGCGCTCCTCTGGCGTCCTCCGCGGTCTTCATGCTGTCGCCGGAGACGGAAGGCGGCTGAGAACGCGGTCTCCGGAACCGTCCGCCCAGCGCGCACGCGCAGCCTCCCGCAGCAGCTCCGCCGCCTGGGGTCGGGAGGGAACGGCGGGCGTGTCTTCCAATCCCGACACGGTGCGCGGCCCGGCGGTCTCCGAGATCTCCCCGTGGTCACCGGAACCGCTGGTGCCGAGCTCTTTGTGGGGCGAGTCCTCTAGGCTGGAGAGACCACGGCGATGCGTTTCCTAACTCCTGGACATTTCCCAAAGTGTCAGAGAGTTGGACTTAGGTGGTCAGATTTATCCTCCCTGCTGGAAACTTGCAAGCCACTGGGAGTTGCACTTCGTTAAGGCGAGGTCCTTGGAAAATCCCGGAAGAGACTTTGAGCGTCTTCCCCCAGCAGTCTTTGAAAGGTCAATTGCTGTTAGAATATAAGGCGAAGTTGACAGTCCGACGCCCACGCACCGCTGCCCCTCCTAAATGTGACAGGTGGAAGGCAAAGTAAATATTAGGTCCTGCGCCCTGAGCTGCAGCCAAGTGTGAGGAAGTGGAGGCAGGATAGGAACATCCCTAGACCTCCGTTCCAATGTACTCATGCAGAGGACAGTAGCTATTTTAGTGTTAAAAGAGAAATACTAGGCTGTGGGGAGGTATAAAATTCCTTGTATGGGGTTGTGATGTGGAGAAGTTGAATTCAGATTCTAACTTTCACCTTATTTTAAAGGGGATTACTTCTTAGTCATAAAGTGGTGTGTTCAAAATGTGTGCAAATGAGGTTAGAATCAATAAAAGGCAAAATACAATCAGTAATGCAACGTTAAATCTGATATAATTTGACTACAGAGCATGTACACATATATTTTCTCTTGAAGGTGAGCCATGAGTTAAGCATACTCTTCATTTCATGACATTTGGTCATTGGTCCAGTGCAAGAACGAGAAAGGAATGTTATCATGCCAATGGGACAGCAAGCCCAAGGTCCCCAGCTGAAAGGGAGTATGGGGGTGGCTGCTGAGTCAGAGTGCCCAAAGCTCAAATGGCATCAGCAAGGAAAATATGGAACTTTGGGCAGAAATCTAGTTCATTTATTGAGCCTGAACAGGTAGCTGTTTGGAACTTAAAAGCCTTGCTTACTGACAATGTCTCTACCTCCTTTGCCTTCAACCTCAGTTGATTTAAGGAAAAATCTGAGTATCCCAAGAACTTTGGGGAAGGAACTTTCATTGCTGTTAGATTCTAGTACCCATATTCAGACTTATCTAATCTTTGGTGTCATTGCAGTAGTTACAGGGGGCAACAGATGGGACCAAAAAGCAACCTCATCCTCAAGAGACATTTGTGGCCCATTTTACCTCACATACAAACACATAATTTGAAGGGGCACAGATCACTCCTATTTAGGATGTTAAACTTGATTTAAATTGCTCTTAGATTGGTTGTCACATGGCACTGTAACTAAGTGAAGCCTCAATTGTCCTCATTCTGTCCCTTCTGATCCTCAGAAACAAGGAGGCTGGTCAGTAACCTTCATGCTGGAACTGTCACTCTGCTTTGAACTTGGGGTGAGACTGCTTGTCAGACCTCACCTTCCTAGTTCTGTCAGTTCTGCCCCTCAGAGCCCTAGGCATTGCCCGGGACCTTTGCTTTGACTACCACATAGATCATAGGAGGTGCTCAGCACCCAATTCCAATTTTTGCCTCAGCTAATTGTCCCATGTTGGAGGCTGTCAACCTGTTTCTTCTCACAAGAGCTTTCAATTCACTTTGACTCAGCTGCCTGTTCCAAAAATGTTAAATGTCCTTAAGAGGAACTATATTCATCTGAGAGCAAGTGAACACAAAGGAATGTGTTGACTTCTCTGGGTTTAAGTTTCCTAATCTGTATAATAAGTGAAGTCTTCAAAAGGGCACTTAGAAAATCTAGATTCCACCTTCTGACGTCCCCAGTATCTTCAGAAGCAGGTTTCCTCCTCTGGTTAACACTGTTTTCTGCCAACTCAGCACTCAGGTTCTTTAGTTGCTAACAGAAACTGCTAACAATCTAGCCTGCCAAAGCCCAGATTTCCTTAATCACAGCAATGGTAGTTAAAACCTCACTCCTTACCTCTTTTGCCAATTTCTTTTTTCTTTACTAATTCCTAGAGCTAAGCCCTTTCTAGTCAGATTTTTAAAAATAGCTTGACCTGGGGTGCCTGGGTGGCTCAGTCTGTTAAGTGTCAGACTTGATTTTGGCTCAGGTCATGATCTCAGGGTTGTGGGATTGAGCCCCACTGGGCTCCTCGCTCAGCGGGGAGTGTGCTTGAAGATCTCTCCCTCTGCCCCTCCCCCCTCTCAAATAAATAAATCTTAAAAAAAATATCTTGACCTGCTTTACCTTAACCCAAACATGGCGTTGCAAGCATGGCATTCACAACCTCTCCAAACTCTCACTTTTCATTACTGAAATAATTAACTAAGACATGTTATTCCATAACCCAATAGACATTTAGTAAGTGCGTGTCCCCTCAGCTGCCACCTCCTCATGGGCCTATTGAAAATGAACTGCCTTTCTTTGCTCTCCAGTGAGGTATTTGTTCATACCCATTTCAAAAACTCCTGTAAATTTCAGGCCAGTGTAAAACTTGTGCGCTTACTGGCTCCTTTTCTATACTATCAGTATCATTTCTAGTTGAATCATCTTCAAGTCACCAATCTTACCTTCCTATTGATTTTTTAAAAGACCTAACAAAGGTAGCCTAAAATGTGAGCCAGATACTGAAATGTTACCAGACCTTGAACTAATCTTACAATGAACTAATCTTATAATATGTAGTGTTTTTCTGATTTGTCAAAGACCACTCTGCCCCTGGTATTGTGAGGTGAGTAAATGTGGTATTGTGAAAGTGAGTAAATGACTTACTGTACTAAAAGTGGGTACTTAGACCCAGAATAATCATTAATTTCATTAACCCTAAGAAGTACCAAAGTGGCTGAGGAAAGACCACAGGTATAAGAAGTTCAGCTAAGATAAAGGAGGATCTGGGGCAACCTTTGATTCATAGTAACAATGATGGAACAGATTTCAATGTCCTGGTTTCTTAAGCTTTCAGAACAACTCTCTTGGAAGAAAACAATTCCAATGAGCTTTCTCACTACTTCCTTACTTCCTATGATTGTTATATGTTTTAAATACTTATAAAGATGTTTAAAACAAACTCCTCAACAGTCTAATAAATGAGCTTTAACACTGTGAAAACTACTCTATGTTTGGTCCTTGTGTACCAGATACTGTGTTAAATGCTGGGTATCCACACATAAATAAATACATCTGCTGTTTAAAAAAAAAAGCTCATAGTTTATTTGAGGAAAGTGAGAAAAGTAAGATGTCCACAGCATTTGGAGAACAATATAACTACCAATTAAGAAAATTTACCTTGGCTGTTCATGTTCTGTCACATATAAAAGTACAGCAATCTGAGGTAAAACTGGTATAAGGGTTTTACAGTTTCCCCTTACCCTGAAATCCAGTATTATAACATAACCCTGGAGGAACAACAAACATATCCCAAAATTCTGTAATTTTGCATAAAGATGGGTACTTTTTATAGGAAGAATGCAGTATTCAAAATGAGTTATGAGCATATTATGTAGGATTTTTGATAGGTTACTTCTTCAGAACATGCAAGTGTCACAAAAACAACAGAAAATAGCAAAATACATCTTACGGTTTACTTAGTTTGGATGCTACTTTCCTTCATTATAAATTTACCAAAAGAGCTGGTTCACCCAGAAGTCACTGCTGAGTTCCCAAGAATGTGGGATAAACAATCCCATGAAATAGGTCCATTACGAAAGTTCATTTTAAGCCAGGTATTCTGAAGCTGGAGTGGATTTTTCCATAGATACCATTCTACTCATGCTGGTTACCTTTTCAATCTACTTTTTACTGGATTCATTCACATTAGTGGACACTACTGTAGATCCAAGCAGAACAAGTTAATTTTTTTTAAATTATGAAGATAAAACATACAAAATCTCTTTGCAGTTTTCAATAATTTAAGGGAATAAAGGGGTCTTAAAATGAAAGTGTTTAAGAATCTGTTGTAAGGCACACATAGCACCAAAACACAGTTATGTGATTCCTACCTACCTCATCCCTAATACCTCTATTTGGACTTTTTTTTTAAAGATTTTATTTATTTGACAGAGACACAGTGAGAGAGGGAACACAAGGAGGGAGAGTGGGAGAGGGAGAAGCAGACTTCCCAACAAGCAGCGAGCCGGATGCGGGGTTCGATCCCAGGACCCCGGGACCATGACCTGAGCCGAAGGCAGACACTTAACGACTGAGCCACCCAAGTGCCCCCCTCTATTTGTATTTTTAAAGAAATCTCTTCCCTTAGTTTTATTTTTAAATTATTCTCTTTACTAAGACTCTAGGATAGTGATGGTGGGCAGAGGTAGGGAAGCAAGAAAAGCATGTAACAATAGCATGGGGTTCTTTTTTAAAGCCATGCACACTATCCCCTAATAAAACTCTACAGGGGCACCTGGGTGGCTCAGTCAGTTAAGCATACAACTCTTGATTTTGGCTCAGGTCATGATCTCAGAGTCGTGGATTGACACCCGCTGAGCACAGAGTCTGCTGGTCCCTCTCCCTCTGCTCCCACCCCCACCCTCAAACCCAGGCTCATGCTCTCTAAGTACATAAAATCTTAAAAAAACACAAAACCTCTACAACTCTACCCACTTAGAATTTAAATGCTGTTACTAATGGAAGACTAATTCTTGACATATACTGATGACCACAGCTGTGTTGTGGTCCCTAAGTTCACCCTCTCGGATGACTCAGAAAAGCTGTTATATTCATGGTTACGAGATATAACCATGTGTTGTTGCTCTGTGTGCCTTATAACAGATTCTTAAACATGAAAGGATGCAGATTAAAACTAGAAAAGCAAAGGCACATAGGACATAATCCAGGGGAGACCAGATGCAAGCTTCCAGTTGACTCCTCCCAGGGGAGTTGTAATGACAGCACTTAATTCTCCCAGCAATGATGTGTAACAACGTGTGCAGAATATTGCCAACCAGGGAAGCTCCTCCGAGTCTTGGTATCCAATGTTTTTATTGGGATGAGTCATATAGGCACAGAGCACCCAGGTGCTGACGTTAGTTACTCAGTCTTCAACCCTTTCAGAAGCCAAATTAATAGAATGTGATCCTTCATCATAAATCCTATTGTTTAGCATGACCTAGATATGGGAGGGCCCAAGGCCCCTACTCAAAAGACAATTTTATCAAGCAGGATATTCCAACAGCTTAGAGGATATTTCCAGGAGCTGGGCAAGCGCCAGGTCTTTTTTGGGAATGTGCAAGTTTCGAACAAGTTAATGCTTTTACTGAACAAAACAACTTCAGAATAAGATGTCACATAGTTGATGTCATGGATTTGGGCACAGATTCAGCTCTAGATCAAGAGCTTCCCCATCATTTCTACATTTCCTCAGAAAGCTTGATGCCAGGCTGTTTTGAAAACTGTACAGAGTACAGCAATGTTGCTAACCAGAACAGAGATTATAAATGAGATGGGTGGGGAGCACCTATAAAAGACGGCTGGGGAAAAAGGGTAGGTAAGTCACTCTTTCTTTCCCATTCCTTCCCTAATTACAGGCCCAGCTGGAGGCAGGGTAAGAAAGAGGAATCCCTGGCAACTGTGGGGCCTTGCAAGAGCCAGAAGCAGAAGGAAGAAGAGGAAATACAACCCAAGTGGTACTTGCTGGGAGGAAAGTTAAGTTCCTATAACCACCTTGATGGGGAGTATACTCCAGGTTCCTCATCCTCCACCACCCCCAGGTTGATGTCTGATCATCCTGGTGTCTCATCATCAAAAATTCTGTTAGGCTGGTTTAGCCAGAACTCCCCTGACCCCTGATGATTTCTCTTAGTAATTTTCCACCAGACTCCCCATCCTGCTCCTTGGGCATAAATTCCCACTTGTCCACACTATATTCAGAATGGAGCCTGGTTCTATATGGACCGCTTTCTCCTATTGCAATAGTTCTAAATAAAATCTGTTTTTACCATCCAGCTCTGGTTTTTCTTGACATACTTAAAAAAGGCTAGTACAGAGGAATTAGTTTAATTCTATGGGAAAGGGGATATCAGCTTGCTTTTGAATGATAAACAGGATATCCCCTACCTGCCCACAAAAGGGGCATTCAACGTAGGGGGGAAAATATGTGCAAGGTGGGGAGGCAGTACGTGGGAAGAGGCAAGCAAGAGTCACAGTACAAAGGACTTTGTATGTCATGCTAACCAGTAAGGGTGACGAGGACATCAAGCACTAGAAGGGGCAGAGGGCAGTGCAGAGGACGGAATGGAGGTTATGAGAATGAAGACTTATGACGGTTAAGAAACTCCAGGAATTGTTTCGGATGAAAGCTAGTGCTTGAAAACAGAAGACTCAGTTGAAAACACTGATCTCCCTCCTTAAATTGAAGATTGGTGTTTTTGAAGAAAAGCGTATTTTCCTTTGGACTCCCCAAAATGTTAATGAATGAAAATTTATGACCACAGGAAGCAAGATATATAGAATAGAAATACTGATGTAGACGACGTAGAATGAATCTGGAGGACTGAATCTTCGTAAAAGTCCAAGAACGTTTACATTTAAGGACTCTGGAACTTATCTGTGATCTAATTTCCTTTTTTTTTCAAAAGATGAGAAACTCATGTGCACAAGCCTTTACAGAAAAGGGTGGGTGGAGGCGGTGGGGAGGCACCAGTTAGCCTCCTCTCCTGAGGGCCAACTAGAAAGTTCCATCTGCTCCACTTTCCGGAACCCAAACCTTAAAAGTCCTTCAAGTCCCAACTCAGAGGCTACTCCACCAGAGCCCCAAGGCCACTCTGCTGCTCGGTCCGGCCCGCTCCTGCCAGGGCCAGGGGTGCGGACCACGGCTGCGGGGGCCGGCCCGGGGACCCCGGTCTCCCTCCACCTCCCCTCCAGCGCTGAGGCCACAGGGCGCGAGGTCAGCGCCGTCGCCGTCGCCGTCCCGCCCAAGCGCCAGCGGGTCACTGGCTCGGCCACGTCCGCCGGCGCCGCGGTCCCACTGCCATTCGGGGACGCCGTGCAAACCTCCGCCTGCTACAGCCAAGCTGCCGGCAGGCACGCACCCACCGCACGCTCGCTGCGCTGCTGTCGGCGGCAAGGCCGCGGCGTCCACTGCAGACACAGCGACGGTCGGCGGCCGGTCCTCCGGGGCGCGTGCAGCGACCGCACCACTCCTACCTGAACACCGGCTCTCCTCATTGGGCCGACCTCCGAGGCGGCCGGCAACCATCGTCCACAGAGCCTGCTACGTCCGCGGGCCCACGTGCAAAAACCGCCCTGTTCCCGCGCGCCCGCGCTGCGCCGGCGCACAGTTCCAGCGGTAGGCCCAGGTGCCGTGGGGGCGCATGCTCCGTCCTGTACTTAGGCCCCTCCACTCCCCCCCCCCCGCAAACCCCGGTTTGGAAGCGCGTTGCTGCCCCTGGCTGGCTCGCGCATGCGTGGCTCCGGTACCTGGGTTTCTTCCCGGCTGGGCGAGGAGCCGCGGGTCTTGGGTTTGAAGCCAGCCGAGCCGGAAGTCGGTCGGCTTCTTCGCCTCCCCTCCGTCCCTGGCGGAAACGCAAGCCCTGGAGGAGAGGTTCCGGGCTCAGCCTGAGCTGGAGGCGGCAGAATGGAGACCGGGGCCGAGGACGTGGGACTGACCCGCCGCCCGATGCTGGCCTCTTCCTGGGATGCCGCCTGCGGAGCCCTGGCCCACAGCCTCCGTCTCACCCGGGCTGAGCTCGGCGCCCGGGACCTGGATTGGGAGGAACCGCCGGCTCCGCCTGCCCCGGGGTGCGCCGGGTCGGCGGGGACTGGGGCCGCCGGTGCGGGACGGTCGCGCTCCTGGGGAAGCCGGGAAGGCGGGTGGGGGGCCGTGCGGGGAGAAGGTGTGGGCCGGGGATCCGGGAGCGGGGGCCGGAGGGCGGGGCCGGGGGCGTGAGTGTCGGGCGCCGGGCTGACCCTCCGCGGGGTGGGAACCGGGCTCCGCCTCCCCCTCCCCGCGCAAAACCGGCAAAGGCCTCCTGCGGACCCGAGTCGGCCTTAATAAATGTGAGTGTCGAGAGCCCCCATCAGCTTCATTATGGAAAAGATAGGCGTTTGCCTCGTAGTGTCTTCTGTTTCCGACTCTGGTGCACACAGTAGGTCCCAGCGAACTTTTTCTGTTGAAATGAGAAGTAACTCCCGGGGGTCGCGTCGGCAATGGAGGAAACAGTAGAGGGCAAAGCCCTGGGGTCCGGAGTGTGCATTTCCTTGGGAATCTGTACCGAGCGTCCGTTGGGTGCTTGGGAAGGTGGGGGGACCTCAGTGGTAAATGAAGAAGGGAGTTAGGAGGAGGACCGTGGCCTAAGAAGAGGGTTGTGAGCGGTGTTCGGACAAGTAGACTGAGGAAACTGTTGGACGCTTTTCTTTTCAGCCAAGATCTGGTGGTTTTGAAGAGCAGCCTGAACAGCTCCGATGGAAAGCCCTGCTTCCTTTACCTGAGATGTGACCCTAACGGAGGCGAAGAAATCGTTTCTGTTGGCATTTTGAGTTCAGCAAGAAATATGGAAGTATACTTAGGAGAGGAGTACTGTGGAACCAGTAGGGGCAAGACTGTTTGTAGTGATCGGGATGACAGGTTTGTAACTTGTTACCGCAGAAGTGTTCTCGCGCAGCGGTGTGACTTTGCTCAGCCCTTGTGGTGTTTGTTGATTGCCTGACATTGATGCCAGACGCCGGGGGAGAGAAGAGAAACACATACCAGCAGGAGTAGCAGTTTCTCCGTTTCTCCCTTTAAGGGCTCTTTGAGATAGCCTAAGCTTTCTCGTTGTTGTAAATGTGGAAATTTCGAGCTGATTGAGGGAGGTGACTGGGTAGCGGGTCGTCCCAGTTAGTCAGACTGTATAGACTACAGTCAGTCCTTATTCCTGCCTCTTGGCTTTCTCCGTGAACACACAGTGGTCTGTTTCCCAAAGGCAATTTGGCAGTTAGTCTGGAACGTTGAACACGTTTTTCTGAAAGGAAGTCCATTACAAATGGTGCACAGGCCTGAGACTGTGCCACACACCAGTGTGTGTAACCCACAAGTCCGCCCGTTAGCGTGTCATTTTCCTCTAGGTTCTGATACAAGGATTCTACCCGAATTCAATCTTGGGATTTAAGTAATGGCTTAGACACACAATTAGAAAAGGTGTTGTTTTTTTTTAATTTGAGTATAGTTGACAGAACGTTACATTAGTTTCAGGTGTACGACACAGTGATTCGACATCTTTATAGGTTATGCAGTGCTCACCACGAGTGTAACTACCATCTGTTACTGTACAATATTAAGTCAGTATCATTGACAGATTGCTATTACAATATCATCTGTTAACCGTACAAGTCTACTACAGTATCAGGGACTGTATTTCCTATACTGTACCTTTTATTCCCACTCTTTATTGATTCCATAACCAGAAGCCTGTATCTCTCTCACTCCCCTTCATCCATTTGGCCCATCCCTCCGACAACCGTCAGTTCCTTTTCTGTATTTATAGCTGATTCGGCTATTTCTTTGTTTAGTCATTTGGAACAATTCATTTTTAAATGTAACTATTAAAACTAATAGAAGTAAAATTGATTTAAATTCTATTTTATTTTTAGTGAGCACAAAATTATTTTCTACAAAAAGTATTTAAAATTGGAGTCCTCCAGTCACGCTTGTAAAGTAAAGGTAAGTCATCACTAGATTTTTAACTAGTTTGACAACTGCAAATGTTTGTGTGTAATTTGTACTTGTTTTCTGTTGGTTCAGTAATATGGTTAGTCCAGCTTTGTTCCTTATTATCTTTATATAAAAATATGGTGTCATGAAAAGTAGCAGCAGTTTTGGCTTTATTATATCAAGAAAGATAGAGGGAGATATATCAAGAAAGAAGGGAATTGGGGAAGTTTTAGAGAAGAGCATCCAAAAGTTAAAGGGATTTGGAGTGATGTCTTGAATATGAAAAATACCATAGAGGTGAACTTTCGTGTTCTCACTGGAGCCTAGAGAAAAGTTACTGAGCTGGAAGGCATAGGCCCAGGATATTCCTCCTGATTTGTTGCCTAGTCAGGTGACCTTGGGCAAATCTCTTTATTTCTTTCGAACTACTTCATGGATAAATTAGAGGACCAGAAAAAACCCCCAAAACTTGGTATGTACATGAATGTTCATCCTCATTCCTAATAGCCAAAAGGTTGCAAAGAAAACAACCCAACGGTCCATCACTGAATGTGTAAACAAAATATGGTATACCCACACAATGGAAAAGTATTCGGTCATGAAAAGCATATAGAAACACAGATGAACCTTGAAACATACTGTACGAAAGAAGCTGGGATCATATATTGTATGGTTCTGTGTGTATGTGTATGTGAGGTCCAGAATAGGCAAATCCACAGACACTGAAAGTAGATTACTTACTATCTAGGGCTGGGGGGGTGGGTATTGGTGGGATGGGGAGTGACTGCCAGTGGGAACATGGCTACTTTTTGGGTGATGTTCTAAAAGTGCGATGGCTCGCGCCAAAACCCGTAAGATACCTAGGAATAAACCTAGCCAAAGAGGTAAAAGATCTGTTTTCTGAAAACTGTAGAAAACTTACGAATGAAATTGAAGAGGACACGAAGAAATGGAAAAACAGTCCATGCTCATGGACTAGGAGAACAAACATTGTTAAAATGTCTATACTACCCAAAGCAATCTATACGTTTAACGCAATCCCTATCAAAATACCATGAGCATTTTTCACAGAGCTAGAACAAACAACCCTAAAATTTGTACGGAACCACAAAAGACCCCATGTAGCAAAAACAATCCTGAAAAAGAAAAGCAGAGCTGGAGGCGTTAACGATTCTGGACGTCGAGCTATACTACAAAGCTGTAGTCATCAAAGTAGTATGGTACTGGCACCAAAACAGATACGTAGATCAATGGAACAGAATAGAAAACCCAGAAACGGACCCACGACTATGTGGTCAACTAATCGTCAACAAAGTGGGAAAGAATATCCAACGGAAAAAAGACAGTCTCTTCAACAAATGGTGTTGGGAAAATTGGACAGCAACATGCAGAAGAATGAAACTGGACCACTGTCTTACACCATATACAAAAATAAATTTAAAATGGATGAAAGGCCTAAATGTGAGACAGGAAACCATCCAAATCCTAGAGGAGAACACAGGCAGCAACCTCTTTGATCTTGGCCACGGCAGCTTCTTGCCAGAGGCAAGGGAAACAAAAGCCAAAATGAACTATTGGGACTTCATCAAGATAAAAGGTTTCTGCACAGTGAAGGCCACAACAAAACTAAAAGGCAGCCTGCGGAATGGGAGAAGATATTTGCAAATGACATCTGATAAAGCGTTCGTATCCAAAGTCTTTAAAGAACTTATCAAACTCAACACCCAAAACACAAATAATCCGGTTAAGAAATGGGCAGGAGACATAAATAGACATTTTCCAAAAAAGACATACAAATGGCTAACAGACGTGTGAAAAGATGCTCAACATCACTCATCATCAGGGAAATGCAGATCAAAGCCGTGATGAGATATCACCTGACACGTGTCAGAATGGCGAAAATTCACAACACAAGAAACAGTGGGTGTTGGTGAGGATGTGGAGAAAGGGGAACCCTCTTGCCCTGTTGGTGGGAATGCAAACTGGTGCGGCCACTCTGGAAAACAGTGTGGAGGTTCCTCAAAAAGTTAAAAATAGAAGTACCCTTCGACCCAGCAGTTGCACTACCAGGTAATAACGCAAAAGATACAAAAATACAGATTGGAAGGGGTACATGCACCCCAGTGTTTATAGCAGCATTATCAACAATGATGTTTCTAGCAGCCAGACTATGGAGAGAGCCCAAATGTCCATCAGCTGATGAATGGTTAAGGATGTGGTGTATGGGTACGATGGGATATTACTCAGTCATCAAAATGAATGAAATCTTGCCATTTACAACAACGTGGAGGGAGCTAGAGTGTATTACGCTAAGCGATATAAGTTAGAGAAGGACAAATACATGATTTCACTCGTGGAATTTAGGAAAGAAAACAGATGAACATATGGGGTAGGGGGAGAACAAAGAAACAAACCATAAGAGACTCTTAAAGATAGAGAACAAACAGGGTTGCTGGAGGGGGGGTGGGGGGGGATGTGCTAAATGCGTGATGGGTATCAAGGGGGGCACTTGTTACGATGAGCACTGAGTGTTCTGTGTAAGTGG